TGCGTCGTTTCTTTTGCCTTCGTTTAGGGGCAAGGCAATTTCCCAAGGCAAAAGTGGGTTTGTGTGTGTTTGGTGATTATTACACTTTCACCCTCTCGCTCGCTCTCTCCCTCTCGCTGGTGGAAACTCTCTGACATACTCTCTCTCTCTCTCGTTTTCCCTTGCCCATATCACATATGCTCACAGCGGGCAAAGTTCGCCAAACAGCTGATTTCTGCGTCTGCCTATCAGTGTTTTTTTTTCCTCTTTGTTATTGGATTTCCCGGCCCGACTTCATCACTCTCCCCTCTCCATCCCTCCTTCTTGTGAATTATTAAATTTGCGGCGCAGTTTTCCTTGGTCTGCTTTGGGGGTTTTGTAGGGTTTCCATGCTGCAGAGAAACCCCTGAGTTGTCCAAAAGGCAGGGCGTCCGGAGGGTTCCCCTGGTCTCTGATCCCGGGTCCCCTGATGATTCACACCTCCAGACGAATATTGCATATACATTACTTTTGCATTTTGGCATTAACCTCCTGCCCCATCTCCTCCGCTCCCACTTTACAGGCAGCTCACACACGCCCCCCTTTCGTTTAACGGCGACACATAAATCTCACAGTGCCGTGTCCGAGACGCATATTGAAATACACACTTGGGGTCGCAAATTTAGGTCTTTAGGGGTAGAGGCTTACTTTTAGGTTATCCCACATGTATATTAGATTGATAAATATAAATAAATATTTAATAAATAATACAAAAATTTAATTTTGTTATTTATTAAATTCTATAAATAAACTAAACTTTTAATAGATGTGAAAGAAACTTATAAAAGCATCATTTTAAAATATTTAATAAAAGGGAAAATATATTTCAAAGTGTCAATAATTATAAAAACTGTGCAAGAAGTGGTTATGTGTTTAAAAACAATTATAAATTTGTTACTTTTCAAAGGTAAAACTTAAATATTAAACATTTTTCACGTGTCCTTTCATACCTACAATTTGACCCATTTATTTTCTTACCCAGCTGACCTTGCTCTAATTTTTATTTAATACTTATTTTTATTTATTCAAATCCAAAATCTCCTGTTGACTTACATTACTGATTTATTTTTAAAAGCCATTTAATAGTTCTTGGAAACAATTAATTTCAAGCTTTTTTGAGTCAAAAACTTCCACGACTGTTTTTATTGCTATAAATTTAACTGCGGCTGTTTAATTTTTATGCGTATGTGTCTGCATTTATGTGGCGCTCATTCAAATTCATTGTTTTGCCATTTTTTCTGGATGTTTTCTTCTTTTTTGTTTTTGCGCATTTCCTAATTTGATGGCAGCTTCTGACGTCATTGCCATTGCGCATGACCCGCAGAGGCAGCACTAACAACAACAACAACAACAACAACAACTGCTAAAGCAGCACAGTAACTACAGTAACGCTGGCAACAACATCTTGATACGCTTTGTTGTTTCGTCTTATTTATGTGGTGGCGTGACCGACTAAACGGAACTCCCGCCCCCTGCCTGCCTCCCCACGGCTCTCCCTGTTCCACCATCCAAATCGACCCCCTATCATTGCCCCTCCTCCCTCTCCAAATGCTAGCCCCAAGCAAAACTAGAAACGTATAAGCGAGGAATAACAACAACAACAGCATCTGAGGCACGGCGGCAATAAAAACAAATCACACTAAGCAAAGTACACAGAGAGAAATTGGAATGTAAATTTGATTTAAAATTAATTTTAACTTAATAATTAAATATAAAAAAAGGGAAAATTTCAAAAAACATTACATAACATAATAAGAAATTATGGCATAAAATTGGAAAGTTAAAAAATTTTAAAAAATATTTTTATACTATTAAAAAGTTGGGTATAGATTTGGAATGGGTTTATTTATGTTCTTAATTCTTTCTTCAAATATCCTAAACCAAACTCAAGCTAATTTTTCTCAGTGTACAAAATGTACGAGTAATATGAACAATTTTATTTTCCTTGCATACTTATGCAGTTGCGTTGTTTGTTTGGTTTTCTCGCTTTTTCTCAGGCACCAGGAAACAATCTCCTTAACTCTTTCACTTTGCAATTAAGTAGGGAAGTTGCTGGCGGAGGCGGTGGCGGGAGGAACAACAAGCAATCATAAATCAAATATTAAGATTGATAAAACAACAACAAAAACGAAGAGAGGCGTGTTTGCTAGGTTAATATTTATATGGAAAAAAGGTATCCACGAGAAAAAGTAGCTTAGTTTAGTATAACTCATATAATCAGAACAATATAGAAATATTTTTTAGCTATTAAATGTTAACAATGACTTTGATTAGCAAGGTAATGATAAAAGCTTATAGAAATTGCTTTAAATTAACAAAAATTTTCCATCCTGTCAGTTGAGGGAATATGGAAATTGGTATAAAGAAATTAAATATTTGTTAGATTTTAAGTTAAGTGCAAAAAGTTATTTGAAATTAACTTAAATTTCATTGTCTGTTAAATGTTCTTCATGGCCTTTTGGCCTTATTAGTATATTAACTTCTTAAAGTTAACATTAAACTATCATCTTAAATTGTAAATTTAAATACAACTTCTGTCAGATGTGCTTGTTCTTTGTACTTAAAATAAACAAGCAAAGTTTACCCTTAGTGTAAGTGAACTTTTGTGGCGCACTGTTTGAACTTTTGTAAGCCAATGTAGAGGTTCTTTATGGTTGTCATATTTATGATGCCCATTTGGTTGGTTTGCCCTGCTTTTTATTGAGGGCAAAAGGATAGCTAAGGGTCGCTTTATAAATCATATGCAAGAAAACTATATAAAACCAAAATGCAGATAAATATTTAATAAGTTCTTTAAGAATTAAATGAAAATTTGCTTAAGAACATGTGTTAGAGTTATTGATGACATGGTGATATAAATATTAGTTTATACTTTGGCATTTGTGGTCAAAGAACTCAGCATATAAAGCCTCAAAATGTCCAATAAATACCTATATTTAACCCTTGGTGGTCCCTTACCTTTCCGTTTACCTTTCTTAAAGGCTAATTTCTTGGGAAATATACGAGTAGGGAACCCTCTTGCCGCAATATCTATAATCCGCAGATCGCGATCGTGTGCCGCCGCTGCATTGCTGTCCAACTGCAACAGTCGCTGCAATAAGTAATGGGCACAAAGCAATTCGAGTAATGGCAAATGGCAGCAGTTGAACCGCTAGAAAGCAGCCAAGCGTTGCAGTTGCAATTGCCCCTTTTGGTGGAAGTGAGACCGAATGTTTTTTGGGCAGAAAGAGAGGCGCCCAGTACGAATCAGATGTTCCATTAGCCGCTCAGTGTGTGTGTTCATTGTATATAGTACTGTAGTATGTATATAGTATAGTGGATATAATTTTTGATGTGGTGCAAATGAACTTGCCGCCGTTTCAGTTGCATTGCGGGCGGTCACAGGTGCTCGTTTTCTGCTGCCAAGATTCCTTTTTTCCCTCTATCCGCTTCTCACCTTTTCTCCCTAGCTCGTTGGCTCGGTTTTTCTTTTAGTTCTTTAGCTCTTTAGCCGACAGCTGTTTTAAAGTACACTTGAAAAAAACTTTGGTCATGTTATTAACATATTATATTGTAATATAAGATGTTATATTTTCTAAGACTAAGAGGTAGTTGCAGAATTTCCTTTATTTTCATTCTAAAAAAGTTTTTAAAATAGAATTTTCTGATATTAAGACACCAATAAACCATAAAATATATATTATTTTCCCTCAGTGCATTGCCCTGTTCCTGTTTTCAACTTTATTTACCGTGAATGACGATGCGTTTACATTCTGTTTTCTTATTCGGGTCTAGATTCTGTGTAATTCAGGCACCAAATGCAGTTCCTGTGTTCTTCGTTTTTCCTCTATCGCTCTTTTTTCTATTTGATTTCTGATTTTATTCCTTCCTCGCCGAAGAAAAACCCATGATAATTACACCCCTGGGAGAGTTGATGGTCAGAGGGAGCTGTGTAAGATGCGGGTTTTGGGGTCAATTCATTGATAAGACGTAGTCTAGGAGGTCTTACCTTTAAGGATAACAAATTGTAATGTCTTTCTAATCAATATTTCTCTGTTCTCTTTCAGGTGAGTAAAATATCAAACTACATTTTCCTGAATTTTCTGTTAAAAAGAGCTCACCCAGAATCTCAGGTAATAAGTTTAAGTCAATTTGGTCAGTAAAATTACCTGCAAATTAAATAATAACAACTCAATGGTGGGCAACACAGTTGTTTATGATAAATAAATGTTCCGCCTTATAATTATAATATGAAGCTATAAATTTAAATGATAATAATCAAAGCAATTAGCGTTGTTTTAGAGCTAATCGGATGTCTGGTAGAATACGTCTTTTTAATATACTTATTAATTTTGGATGGAAAGGCACCCCTTTCTTGGAAGTTTATAAAATTATCCCAATTTGTGGTATATAGTCAATAGGTTTTAAAATTTAAAAAATTCTCATATATCTGCTTAAACCTTCAAATAGTAGTAGATTTATACTACTATTCTACTGCTACCTGGCCCTATTCTCATTTTCACAACCAGATGGCAACGCTAACGCTGTCAGCTGCTGAGCATCAACACATGAGCGCTCAGCTGATGCGAGAGAGAGAGAACAATTGCCAGCAGAGAAGAGAGAGAGTACGCCAAAGCAGTCAAACAAGTGGTCGAAAACTGTATAGATATGCGTGTCTCGCTTGACTGACGCATTTGTATGCAAAACACGTATAGACAGTGCTCTCGCGCTCAGCTGCTCTGTCTCGCTCTGGGGAAGAGAGCAAATGTTGCTGGTGTGCGAGACGGCAGCAACATCAGCAGCGACAACAGCAATAGCAACAACACGGCAGCAATAGCAACCACTTCATCTTTACTGTGTGCTCTGCTTTCGTTGCCAGTTTTTTGTTCTGCTTTTTTGTTTTTTCTTCTCTCTCCTTATTTGCGTGAGTGTTGATGTTGCCGCTGTGTATTGCTGGTGTTGTTGTTGCTGCTGCTGGTGTTGCTGCTGCTGTTTGTGTGTGTTGCTGTTGCCAGCCAAACGAGCAGCAGTCAGTCAAAGACGGACGGCTTGGCTCAGTGTAGAAATTTCCTTTGGCACGCTTGGTCGTTTAAGCGGTTGCAGGTCGTCGAATGGTGGACTCTTCTTGTCGCCGCGTCATTTTTTGACATTGTTTCTTCGAGGCGCCGCCGTCGGTTGCAACTTTACAACGCATCGCATTGCGTCGTAGTTTGTTAAAAAAAAAAAAAAAACTAAAAAGCGTACACCAGCAACATTAATTTCCCGCGTGAAATGCTATGCTACAGATTGTGAAATAAAATTGAAAAACAGAAATCCCTAAAAAGGCACAAATGTAAGCAGAAAAGGAGTCGTTTTTCCCAACCAAAAAAAATAAAATAAGAAAAAGAAGTGCCTCTCTGTGTTTGTGTGTGTGTGTGTGTGCTAGTGCTTTTCCCGTGCTGGTGTGAAACTGTGTCATTCACTGCGAAAAACTGCATTCAAGTTTTTCCTCAGAGCCGCGATTGCTGGCGGGTTTATTGTTGCTTTTGCAGTTAGCTGCCACGGTTTGTTGCTTCACTGATTACGCGCAATGCAGCAGTAGCAGCAGCAGCAGAGGAGCAGCAATAGCAGCTGAGAGTTCAGTTGCGAAACCGGCGAAGCGCGACTGTTGCCAATGCAACGCTTAGAATTGGCACACCAGCAACAACTGCTGCAGCAGCAGTAGCAACAACAACGGTACATTGTACATTCACAGTGTTGCTGGTGTGCCCACAGCACTCCACTACTTTTTCCTCTGCCTCCTTTGCTGGCATATTGTTTTAACCACTTCCTTTGCCGCAGCGGCAGGAACTTCCTTCCGCACGGGCTTCCTGTCTGTCTGTCCCTAAGTCTGTCTGGCCAACCATCCCCCTTTCTTTTTTTTGCCGCCCCCTCACCCTTAACGCATTGTCAGGTGTTTTCTCTGCAACACGGAAAGAAATGATTATAGTTTTTATGGTCAATTTGATAATTTGAGTTATAATTTGTTAGTTTTCACTTAGTTTGGTTTTTAGATGGGGTCTTTAGCTTTAAAATTTCATTTTTATCTCAAATAATAGTTTTTCTTTCTGTGCACATCCTGCTTGGGTTGTTTTTATTTATTTTTTTTTTGTCAACCCCGTTGACGCCTACGTGTTCAATATGGTGAAAAAACAACAGTACGAGTGGCTCAACCAGCAGCTTGTTATTTCCCACACCTTCCGGTGAGCCCCCTCAGACCAAACCCCCTTTTCACAACCTCCCTTCCTCAGCCCCCGTTGAAAACCCTTTTGCGCTAGGCCATTTATCGATTTCTTTAGGTCATGCTAAAAATTGCAAAACCAACTGGAATTAGTTGCGGATTCCCATAGTTGAATTCCCATGGATTTATATTTTGCGGCAGGCAGAGAAATTAAATTGAACCAAGCGATGTTATCTAACTTTCGATTGGTTTTCGGATTTAATGGGTTTTAATATCTTGCTTTTAAGGTAAAACAAATTAAGCTGTACTTTGATTATCAAAGAAAGAAATAAGAGGAAATATAATATAAAGAGAGATCTTAGTTGAGATTCTTAAAGCCAGTTTAAAGATACTTTGACATTTTAGGCTCAATATCATTTGGGTTTTCCCAATGCCATATAATATCTTAAAGCAATTGACTTGTTCTTACGTACTACTACGCTTTTCATTTTCAACGTTTTTTCCCCCCTGCTATGTTATACTTTTCTCACGGTATTTCCCAATTAAACTGTAATTCCAGTGAGAAAATATTTCAGTATTTTCAGTAGTCGCCTTCAATCTTGTTCATAAATATTCATTTCAGTTAGGTTTTCTATTGTTTTTTCTTGATATTTATTTAATTTTCACTGTGGTTTAATCGATCGTTTAACCCATATGAAAAGGATAGTCACAGTTATAAACGCTGTCGGATAAATCTCTGTTAACTGGGTTAGTTAGCGACCCGAAAACTTCTCCGCCTTTTCCAGTGAACCGTTATGCCATATATGCCACTCGAATGCTGTGCTGTGCTGTGCCTGCCTGTGGGGCAGCTTCCAAAACCGAAACCAGCTCACAGATATAGATGGGTATGGGTATTGGGTATTGGGTATGGGAGTTAAAGAGGTGGATGGAGGGTACCAACTCCACCACCACCTATATATCTATGTATATCATGTCATCCATTGCATGTGCATCTCACTTCTCCACACCGAACTCACGTCACAGCTTCTATCTCTATCTACTGGCCGCTATCTGTCTCTGTTTTTCCTGCTCCGCTGGCCAGTTGTGTGTTGGAACTCGTTTTTTCTTTATTTTTTTATTTCTTTCCCCGATCTATACTACCAATAATATAATAATATTCTACAACTTTTCTAACCAGCGGAGAGGTTTCTTTGTGTGTGACTTGCCAGTTTCGGTTTCTATTTCTCTTTTGCTTCTTTTTCTTATTATTACTTTTTTACTCTCGACTTTGGCAAATGGTCGTTTGACCTTTAACGGGTGTACATACATCTCAAATCGGCAACAATTAAGCCCATTCAAAACGCGAGCAATGGGCAAACCGTAACACTCGCCGTCGCGTTGCTAGAATCACATCATAAATTTTGATTTGATGGCGCCACTTTGTTTTTGTTTCTGTTTCTTTCTGCGGAGGTGTGAAAACGAAACTAGAAGGGGTAAGAAGAAAAAAAAAAAAAAAAAAGGAAAAGACACCATTCAGCAGCAAATTGGCTTCAATGCGAGTTGAAGGTTAAGTGCGACAGCGACGCGGAAATTGAGCATTTGGATATTGGAATTGCTTGTTGTTTGTTGTTGTTGTTTGCTTTTGCTTTTGCTAGTTCCAAACAGGCGATCAAGAATTAACCCCTTTTCTGTCATCGTTCGATTTTTCGTACATTTTTAGCACGCACTTCAGGGCATTTAAGGGGCTTCTAGTAAGTGCTTAACGGTTACGGAAGTTTTCTATGAAAACATTAGAAAATGTTTATAAAATAAAGTCAAAACAGAAATGCAATGTTTTTTTTACATAAATTCTAACTTCTAAAAAGTTATTAAATAAACAAAATTCTCAAAGAAATTCTCAATATTTCCAATAGAAGCACCTAAAACTTTTTTTTTTGAAGTCTTCCAAAAAATCCAACTGCATTGCGTTTAACAAACTTTTCATTGAACGGAAATTTAACTCTGACAGGGCAGTTTTTGCCTTAATTTTTTTACTTGGATTTTGATATTTCTTTGTGCGTTTTTCTTTGCATAGAGCTTGTGTGGTGACTGACTGTTCGATATTTTTGCTTTTATAAATAACCTTAAACGATTTTTCTGCGCCGCCAGGCCACACGAAAAGTGTCAATGTCAGCTGTTGTTGTTGTTGTTGTTGTTGTTGTTGTTGTTGTGCTAGCCACGAAAACCAAACCGAACCGAGCCAAATCGAAAGCGAAGCGATGTGAAAACGGAAAAATCGAAGAGCCCGTGCTAAATTTATTATTCAGCTGTCGGCATTGCCATCATAGGCTTTTTTTTCCCAGCTCATGTTTTGTCTTTGCCCCGCTTTTCCTAGTCCTTTTTTTTTTTGCTTGCTGCCACTAAAAGCTTCCCAAAATAAAACGCGAATACATGTACATGAGTTTCATATATATATATATTTTATAAATGAGAAACATTGCAGCAGCTACAGTGAGAATTTGCAAAATGTTTCCGTCACAGCACACACTTCATGCCTCCTTCACCTTTCTACAGTGGCTAAAACACGCGCCGCTAATTGCACGCGTGTGCAACCATTTCTGCAAGATTTCAAACATATACATATAGATATATATATACACTTGCCACCCAGGCCTCCCAAATAATTGTTAGCCGTCACTTTTTGGTAAGGCTAAAATGTGAAGGAAAACAAAACAAAAAAAAAAATAAATATATCAAGAGAAAAAACAAAAACAAAATAAAACTCGCCACAGAGCAGATGAAATATCCGTGTTGCAATCTTGTTTTTTTCCATGCCGCCTCCGCCTCCGCCCATTTCGTGTGAGGATTTGTAACAGCCTCCAAAGCAGAGACAACGGCACTCGAGATGAGACGGCAGGCAGTGCGCTCCCACAACATTGTCAAAAAGTCGCTCCCCCCGAAACCCGAAAACTGAAACCTAGAGGGCACTGTGGTCTTCGTAGTGATAAAACTTAATGAAAAATGAATATGTTTATTGTCCAACTTGACTTATGGCTATAGCTGTTGCCTGTGTTCGTGCATCTTGTTAACACGGTTGACTACAACTTCTGCATTTTGAGCAGAGGTAATCAAATGTTTTATAGAGGAAGCTAGCAATGCAGTTTATGCACAGCCCAGCTGATCAGCAAAATGATGGGCTGCTTTTTTATATAGTCACGTATAGGGAAATCAAGTAGTTAGTGTTTAAGGGAAATATTTGATTAGTTATGTTTTTTATTTATTAAATATTTATGCTACTTAAATAGTTTTCCAGACAGAAGTTAAATGGGAATCTTCTTAGGGAAGTTATTAATCAAAAAATGTCTAAAAATCAGACAGGGAAAGGTTTCTTTTTGATCTAAGATCTAACTAACATAAACTCATAAAAACATAATAAAGTTGTAATTAAGGGTAAATCAAGTTCAAATCTTTCCTTTCTTTAAGGTTCTCTGAACACTTTCCTAAGCCAGTTAAGCCTCATTAGTAATTTGTACCCGCTGGTTTTTGAAAAGTTCGAGAGTTCCCAGTGCAAGATCGAGAGATTCACTGTGTCTGGCTCTGCCATATGATGAGATTCAAGTTGCGTTGCTTGCTGGTCCCCTCTTATTTTACTGTCGTCCAATTGCCCGCCTACCGCCGCCCGCCATGATGACCACTGAGATCGGCGGGCTATAATTATGCGGTTTGTGCCCCTTTGATCAAAGTACCCCCACCAATAGTCCCCTCGAACAGACGGCGGCATCTTCAACCGGAGATGTGGAAAATGAAGAAGTTCGGTAACTGGATAGTGGTGAAAATTGCGCTGGTTTTTCGTACCCCCCCACCCCATCCATTTCCCATCTCGCGGCAAAACAATTTTCGGCTAGTTTTGCAATCGACTCCCACAGACATCCCGCATTTCCCTAACGGCTGGATTTTCCTATAATTTTATCTCCCTGTTTTCCTCTGGTTTTTTCGTTCGTTCGTTCAGCAAATTGAGTTAGCGAAATTACTATAATTTTGTGGGAAATTTTATGGGTCAAATTTCAGCTGTGTTGACAATGCCCCAACGTCGTCGAAAAACAAAGAAAATTAACAAAAAAAATGGTTAAAAAGTGGGTAAAGCAGACGCGCCGCTGACCGCAGCACAATTTTTC